ATGAGTGTTTGTGGGAAGAGAGAACATTATTCATTAATTTCGTCTGCCCACATTTTCACAGCCAGTCTTGATATTTGAACCATTCACCTTGCTGTGACAAGCTTCTGCCACTTCATTATTTGGGGAGCCCCCTCCATCATGCACTGAAGTTCTGCTTTTTTTGAAAGCTACCCTCACTAATGATACAAACTGCATCGATTCGGTGACTTTCTCATATGATAAAACGGACACACATTTTTGCTAAGCGATAGCTTTAATCATACACTTTCTCTTTAACCACTGGTCCAGTAAATAGTTTTCTAAGAGGTCATAGAGATGAGCTTTTGGAGGCCTTAGTGGAAAATTATCTTTGGGTCAGAACTATCATTAGATATGACACCATCAGGAAAGCCATTTCTGTGAATCCTCCACCACATCTGCTCACATTAGTCCTCTTGATCGGCGGGATATGAGGAGACCATCAGAGCAAATGATTATGCTTACAAAATGTCCCCCCTACTGCTCTTCGGACCCCCCAAAAAAAGAAAAAAAGCTCATCTCCTTTTAATCGAACCCATTGCTTTTTAATGGTAGGCAATAGAGATAAGAGGGAAGAGGGACATACTCGAGCTCAGAGGAGACATGTGAGCATCCATCAGCTACCAGCACAGAATGTCCTCATATCTGCCTTTGCTCTGAGAGGAAGTGAAGGCAGGAAACACACTCTCCGCCCACCATTAGCGAGCGGCACCTCAAGCAATCACTTTATTCAAATCGGCCTGGTGCCGTACCCCAGTCCAATCAATGGCATTTATCTGCTCTTTGAAAAAAGCCGATAATGGGATGAGGCAGAGTAGGGAGCGAGGGAAGGCGGGGGAGGTGTTAGTGCTCTAAAGTGCCTGGTCTCTTTATGTCCTTTGTTTAAATGGAAATAGAACATGACAGTGTTGATTGCATGATTAGCCTAAAGGGTTAGTGTCATTCAAGAGTCTATGGGTTCAGGTGATCATGCCACCATGCTGCTGTGTGAACAGTGGCTATTGTGTGCTACAGCATCAAAAGTGGGAACACGATCTGTCAGCGAGAATCATACTTCGCCCTGAAAAGGTTCAGGCAGATTCCAGCACTGAAATGACAAAGTAGATTTTCTAACAGGTTGGGAAGATGAAGAGAGACAAACGCCACTGAAGGAGGAGATCAAAACACCAGTGAGAAGCGTAAAGTCACTGATAGTTCCTCGATCTCACCATCTGCTTGTCTGAGTTGATTTGTATACCGGAAAAAAAAAGGCCAGCCATCATTTTTGGAATCAAAACACAACCTGGATTTTCAAGGGTTTTCATTTCAAAAAGCAGTCTGGGTGCTGAGGCAAACGCCCACCAATGACTCAGACAGTCACTCTGAAACATCTCATGGGTGTTTAGCACTTCCGCAGTAGTTATTTACAGCAGAGCAAGACATGCAGAAACAAAGACTGTCCTCCCCCCAAACACAACAGCATAGCTGGTTTGTGCAACAACTTATCACAACCCATATTTACGTTTACTGATAGACGGTGACCTCTAGTGGCCGTAGTAATTATGACGGCAGCAAAGAAGGAAGACTTTATATCAAGAGCGACATGTCCGCATGGGGAGGAGGTTGGGGTGGTCAGATCGGTCAAACAAACAAACACAGGACTTAGATCCAGAGGAACACTGTTTGTGTCCTGTGTGACACCAAAAGACAACGTTCAGTCGTTTTAGCTTTGATGTTATGTCACGCTATGTACTTAATGTCACATTATGTTCAGTATTTAATGTGACAATGTGACATGAAGTTGCATAACAAACATAGTTATTTTACCGCAAACCTTGATTCTTTTCTAAAGCCTAGTTCACATTACACGATTTTCACCGCGATTCTGACGTCACAGAGGATCTTGAAAGCCACCTTGGATCAGAGGTGAGTCGGCAGATAGTCTGCGACGACGAGTCCTCATGTGTGAACAAGGCTACGAGCAAGTCGCCCCCTCGTCTGCGACTGGGACTGGATATCTGGCAGGAGGACGTAAGAAATGTGAGGAGGACAAGCCGCAGGGTTGCCAGGTCCACTTATTAGCAGCAACTTTCGCTTACTTGTCGCTTACAAATATTGGTAGTTGCGGGTTGCGTTTTTTTGGGCTTGTTTCTAAAGTGCTTATTTGGGCTTGCTCTCTTAACGTCGCCTTTCTCTATGTACAGTACAGGCCAAAAGTTTGGACACACCTTCTCATTCAATGCGTTTTCTTTATTTTCATGACTATTTACATTGTAGATTCTCACTGAAGGCATCAAAACTATGAATGAACACATGTGGAGTTATGTACTTAACAAAAAAAGGTGAAATAACTGAAAACATGTTTTATATTCTAGTTTCTTCAAAATAGCCACCCTTTGCTCTGATTACTGCTTTGCACACTCTTGGCATTCTCTCCATGAGCTTCAAGAGGTAGTCACCTGAAATGGTTTTCCAACAGTCTTGAAGGAGTTCCCAGAGGTGTTTAGCACTTGGCCAGGTCATCTGCCGCAGATGGGATGGCATGTCACTGCAGGATGCTGTGGTAGCCATGCTGGTTCAGTGTGCCTTCAATTTTGAATAAATCCCCAACAGTGTCACCAGCAAAACACCCCCACACCATCACACCTCCTCCTCCATGCTTCACAGTGGGAACCAGGCATGTGGAATCCATCCGTTCACCTTTTCTGCGTCTCACAAAGACACGGCGGTTGGAACCAAAGATCTCAAATTTGGACTCATCAAACCAAAGCACAGATTTCCACTGGTCTAATGTCCATTCCTTGTGTTTCTTGGCCCAAACAAATCTCTTCTGCTTGTTGCCTCTCCTTAGCAGTGGTTTCCTAGCAGCTATTTGACCATGAAGGCCTGATTGGTGCAGTCTCCTCTTAACAGTTGTTCTAGAGATGGGTCTGCTGCTAGAACTCTGTGTGGCATTCATCTGGTCTCTGATCTGAGCTGCTGTTAACTTGCGATTTCTGAGGCTGGTGACTCGGATGAACTTATCCTCAGAAGCAGAGGTGACTCTTGGTCTTCCTTTCCTGGGTCGGTCCTCATGTGTGCCAGTTTCGTTGTAGCGCTTGATGGTTTTTGCGAGTCCACTTGGGGACACATTTAAAGTTTTTGCAATTTTCCGGACTGACTGACCTTCATTTCTTAAAGTAATGATGGCCACTCGTTTTTCTTTAGTTAGCTGATTGGTTCTTGCCATAATATGAATTTTAACAGTTGTCCAATAGGGCTGTCGGCTGTGTATTAACCTGACTTCTGCACAACACAACTGATGGTCCCAACCCCATTGATAAAGCAAGAAATTCCACTAATTAACCCTGATAAGGCACACCTGTGAAGTGGAAACCATTTCAGGTGACTACCTCTTGAAGCTCATGGAGAGAATGCCAAGAGTGTGCAAAGCAGTAATCAGAGCAAAGGGTGGCTATTTTGAAGAAACTAGAATATAAAACATGTTTTCAGTTATTTCACCTTTTTTTTTGAAGTACATAACTCCACATATGTTCATTCATAGTTTTGATGCCTTCAGTGAGAATCTACAATGTAAATAGTCATGAAAATAAAGAAAACGCATTGAATGAGAAGGTGTGTCCAAACTTTTGGCCTGTACTGTATATCTGCCGCTTCTTTTGGGCTTGTTTCCATAGCCCTGGTTGCTTGTTTCTCCCCCAAGATCTGGCAACACTGACAAGCCGGCAAGCAGCAACAACAATGGCGCATCCACAGGATTACGGGAAGCGCGTTATGTTTGGACCCAGGCCCTGGAGGCAGATCTGATTCAACACTGGGAAGAATATCCATGCCTCTACGACGTGTTGTCTCCAAGTTGAAAAACGTAGTTTGGTGACGTCACCGCATTATCTGGGGCTCTGTCGACGAGGGCTTGGTGGAGAAATCTTGTGGTGTGCACACACAGGTCGTAACGCAATTGGCAAGACTCCCGATGACAGAAACACATGTCGCTAGGTATGACCACTCAGAAGATTACGATAGTCTCTGTGACGCAAAATTGGGGTGAAAATCCCGTAGTGTGAACCAGACTTAACTCCAAACACTCTGGTAGGGGTGCGAACATAGGAAACACTCCTGCAGGTCATATTAGAGCAGGGGTAAGCAACCTGCAGCTATGGAACAGCATGTGACTCTTTAGCCCCTCTCCAGTTGTTTCCATTAGCTTTAGCCATGGATTTGAAAAAGAAAGGAACAGTCTCAGAAGGTAAAAAAGCATTTAATAGTGCATGGACAGATTTGTCTGCTTTGACCACCAATGCTACAAACAAACAAAGTACTAAATAATCAATAAATAGTTCACTGCAGAGTAGCCACCTTGTGGTAAACATATTAATGAATGCTTATTCAGCCAATTGGGTTTGTTGATAGGCTACTTTAGAGTTAATAGGTTGTGTTACCTTCATTTTAAGGCTCAAATATATCTTGCGGCTCCAAAAAGATTTTTTTCTTTGGCCAAAAATTGCTCTTTTCACAGTAGAGGTTACGACCTGTGTATTAGAGGGTAGGAACAAACAACCTATGTGGCTGTATTGATTGGAGGACTTGTTGCAGCAATGTAAAGTACTAGGTGTTTTCATACGGTCTAGAGCAGTGGTTCCCAACTGGTGGGTCATGGTCTTAAAGTGGACTGCAGGGACTCACAAACATGTAAAGTTTGTAAAGAACACACTTTACATTTTTGGCACAGAGCTTTTATTTTGAAGTGCCATTTCCTGCTGTAAAGCAAATCACTAACAGACAGCTACCTGACAGAGACAGCAAACTAGCTCGACAACAAGGCCAAATGCAAGCATGAATGTATTAAACTGTGTGGACTTTGAACTAATGACTAATGACCCAGTGGCTGGACCAGTTGGGAACCACTGGTCTAGAGAATGAAAACACACCCACCATGCAACCCTCACCCTTCATCCCACCCCCACACCCTTCAAACCTGGTATGACACACACCTCCATGCTTACCTTGGAGTACATGGCCCCATTAAGGACCTCTCCATTGCGGATCCAGATGATTGAGGCTGCCGGCTTGGCATTGTCAGCATGGCAGGTCAGATTGAGTGGGTCACCAGCCCTTAGGCTCACCACCGGCCCTCCACTGATGACTGGGTCCTCTGGGGGAACTTTAGATACAGACACATGGAAAGAGACAGCATTAGCCACATGATAACCACATGATGATAAATGTAGACTATTAATAAAGTACGTAGATGTGTAATTAAGTTATAAATCAATATGTAATATGCATTATTTTTGATGATGGCACACTGGCATGTAATGACTTCACTGTTGTTGTTTTTCCACGCAATTATCAGTGGGATGTTTTCTGTTTCCACAACATTGCAATACTGGCAGTTTGAACCACATAAGACAAAACTCATTTCAAACGGCACCTGCAAGGATTTGACTGCATGACACCCAATCTCACCACACAGTCAATTCCCATATAATGAGAGTGCTTATAAAGCCACCAAAGTTATTGTATATACATATTTTTTCCTAACAAAAAAAAACAAAACCTCCACAGTTACTCATTCAGGCAGGGTAATAACTTCACAGTAAGACACAGACTCATCCTGTACTTAATCAAAAACTAGCATTACATGGTGCGGTTAGAGGCATGGAAAGCTTTACACAAGTCCCAGCATGACTCTCTAAATAACAATGAACTCTTCCATCAATCAAAGCAGATGAGATTTACCCACTATACGTACAGTGCACACAGAAATGTCAGCATTTAATGTAATACAGTCTGTGTATAATATGTATAACCCCCCTCAGATACACAGATGTGCAAAGGCTCCTCCATTCCCTCCTCCAAGCTTTGACAAATACAACAGAGACGAAAGCATCACAACAGCTATATGTGCCTCTCAATGGCACTGATCAAAGTCCTCTCCCTGTTTTACCCATGAGCTGATCTGTTTGTTTTTTCTTTCTTTCTTTCTTTCTCTCTCTCTCGTTCTTTTTTATAACTGAAACTCCAGTGAATTATTGATTGACCTGAGTGCTCATTACAATGCAGATCTGGGGCAAGATGAAATCAAAGGCTGCAGGCAGCTGCCATATTCCCCCTGCAAAAGCATAATGATTGGAAGGAAGGTTATTATGGGTTAGATTTATGCTGTCAAACAGCACTGTGATGAATGAAAGGAGATAAAATGTAATTGGGATACTGTGTTGTACATTTAATGACAATAAGTATAAAAGGGCTCTTTTATGGCAGACATAAATGAGAGCATATAGTGCCAGAAAAGTACGCTTCGGTATTCTGTGCTGTTCACTCTGCACTGAAAATACTGACAGAAAATGTTTTCACTTTACATACCTCAACTTTTTTCTAAGTTGCTGCAAATTTGTTTTTTAACATTATTAAACAACTTCATCTGAAACTTAGCTAAAGTTGTAATCATTCAAACTTTCAACATTAAATTTCATTAAATCAGAATGCATTTCTGCCTTATTACATTATTTATGGTTGGCATTTTTCAGAAATAGTAATCCAACGTATTTACATTCTGTAATTACCTTTTTATATGATTTTTTTTATTGTCACACACAAGGGATTCATATGAAATGATGCGGCACATAATTCAGTGTCACTATTTAAAATTTTATCAGCCTTTCTGCTCACTGTTTGCTCTCCTAATGCTGTATCAGAGCTGTATTAAGTTTGTCACAGAGGTCAGCGCTAACCGCAACCATTCATTAAAAATGTGTCCTGAAAATGAGACATGGACATTTGTTTTGTGGAAAACTACTTGCCCGAGCGCAGCAGTAACAGTTGCAATTATTTATGAACGCCGTCTTTATTAAAACAGTGTCAGTTTGTTTGGTTGCAGAATAATCAGATTCACCAGTTGCTCTCAAGTTCTATTTCTGACAAAGTAGCTGCTTGAGGAGTGTTTGCTGTAGTATTAAACCACTTAAATGTTAGAGATATACTAGGCAGGAGTTTCCTTAAAAAACAATGTACATACTCATACAAATGTAATCCCTTTTAATCATCAGTTGAAGTGTGTGATGGTGTATTTTTCTGCAAAGACGCTGCTTTCTGCTTGTACTCTCTTATTTTCTTCTTATTTTCTGTGTTAAAGACGTTTATGGGTGAGTACCCTCGGTGCTCAGGTAAGGTTGGGGTGTTATTAAAAGGTGACCAGGTGCCAGATCATAAGCAGCAGGCAACCAAGAAACACATTCATTCATTTTCATTTTCCGGAATCACTTATCCTGTTAGGGGTCGTAGGGGGGCTGGAGCCTATCCCAGCTGACACTGGGCGAGAGGTGGGGTACACCATGGACAGGTCGCCAGGGCTGACACATAAGCCCCTTTTACACTGCCAGATTTTCAGTGAATGTTGGGCCGTTTTGCTGGCAAGCTCCGAGCGTTTAGACACACAGAGCCAGATTGGCAAGTTGATCCGAGGTGCCCAGTTTTCTGCCGCGTAGGGTAGACATATTGGCAGAACCTTTTTGGTTTAAAAAGAATGAGGCGCTACCCTGCCACGGGAGGGGCTGTTGATGACGCCGCATGTGCGACCCACTGGTGGTGGATAAACAGGAAACAGCTGATAGCAGGAGTGAGCAGCGAGTACTAGTAGCAAGAGGGAAACGCAAACCTGAAAGACACTGTAAAGATGAGCAGCTGGGGAGACAAGGAATTGCGCGCCCTCCTTGTTCTCGCAAACGAAGAGGCCATTAACCATCAAATGACGGGGATGGTGAAGGACGAGCCGACTTAAGAGAGAATCGCCAAAGGGCTGACTAGCTGCGGTTTCCCTCAGAGTACGTCACTGTTTATATCCAATGCTGAGCTACACATTTGGTTACTTGCCTCCCCATTCCCCTGAAAAAGGCGCATTCTGTATAAACAAAAGTAAGCAGGCGGCATTTTGCTGCACTCCCTGATTTTGCTTTTATACTGTCAATGCTGAACGAAGACTGATTGGGCTTTCCTGCAAATTTGCACAACTCCTATCTAAACAGAACTATAGAGACAGACAACCATTCTCACTCACATTCACACCTACAGCCAATTTCGATTCGCTAATTAACCTGCAAGTCTTTGGATTGTGAGAGGAAGCTGGAGTACCCAGAAAAAACTCACGCTGACACGGGGAGAACATGCAAACTCCATACAGAAGGGTTCCCCGCACCCTGGGGTTCAAACCAGGAACCCTCTTGCCGTGAGGCGACAACACATTACTATGTCGTCCAAGAGGCATATATATAGCGGGGCAAAATGCCAAACAAGGGTGAATCTGGGCTTAACTTTAACTTAACACAGGTCCGAACACACAGATGCACAAACTGGACCTATACATGCACTAAGTGGAGAGATGTCAGAGTGGGCTGCCCATGACAGGCGCTCCAAGCGGTTGGGGGGTTCGGTGCCTTGCTCAAGGGCACCTCGGCAGTGCACAGGAGGTGAACTGGCACCTCTCCAGCTACCAGTCCACGCTCCATATTTCTTTGGTCCGGACGGGGACTTGACCCTCCGGTTCCCAACCCAAGTCCCTATGGACTGAGCTACTGCCGCCCCACATCACAGCTCTTCCTCACAGACAAGCTTATCTTTGTCTTCAAATGCTGTGGCTAATCAGTGCACAGGGCGGGGGTGGCATAATGGTCCTTTGCTCTTATGACTAATGCCTTTGCATCACTAAAAAATATTGACTAAAAAACAAAGAAAAAAACTGTTTTGCCAATTTTTCAGACAACATCCTTGTCAGTACCACACGTATACAGTGAGTAAGGACTGAATCAGACCAGTGTGGGAACACTGATGTCTGGACTCTGACTTGACCAAACTGAAACTCTGACCAGCTGACCAGTGAATCTGCGATTTCAAAGACAATGCCCACTCACTAGTTCCTCTTGTGCGTCTGAGTTTGAAATGCAGTGTTAATTCTGGCAGGCTCCCTTTCATCTGGTCTTCATTGATATGCAGGGAGGGGTTGGGAGAGGTAGAGGAATCTCAGGTCAGCACCAGCAGATCAGACAACAGAGTGTGCTGATCTAGGCAAGTAAGGGAAAAAAAAAATCTTTGTGAGAATGTGGTCACCTTCTGGTCCTTTATCAGCAATTGGAAACAAGGTCAAGGAGATCACATTAGTTTATTCTTCTGCTAAGAATAGAGCTAGTGCCTGGTATGCAAATGAGACAGGGAGCATGTGAACAGCATTATGAGCCAGGAATCTCAAACAGCTCTCCCATTTGTCATTAAAGAAAATGGACAAAATGTGAGGCTCAGCGATAGCACTGTGACAGCTGATTGCAAAGATCCAGCGGTATTGGCTTGCTGTCAGTGCTCTCTTACACATATGACTGAAACATTAATTAAATGCCAAGCATATAAGGCGGTCGTAAAGAAAGGGGGTTTTATGGAGAGGAGGAGATTAGAAAGGAACGTCTGACAGTATGTGACTGATAGGACTCAGGCTTGAAATGAGGTGATTTTTCTCTTATTGCTTACAAGTGCTCAAAACTCTCAGAGAAGGAGAGATAAGAGGCTCCTTTGCTCTCCCTCAAAGGAAGTATTCTTCCTGTACACACATTAGCACACATCAATGCTATAAATAGGTGCAACAGGGTCAGAAGGTGACACCACTAATGAATGTGGACGAAAGGTTATACTATCGCAGTCACTATGTGCTTCCCTTTGACCTTTAAAAGTGTCTACTATTATTCACCTGTATGTTTCCCGTTGAGGGATGTCAGAGCAAGAGTTTATGATTCTGTGCATAGTGGAGCGACATGGGAGAGAGGGAGGTCACACGCAGACCAAACAGAGCACTGCTACACTTTCAGGTCATGTCCCCCTGGAGGGCTGGCTGCCAGCAAGACACTGAGGGTGAATGGTGAACAGACAAGGAAGTAGACGGACATGCCTGGCTGCCTCCATCCTGCATCCATACCTTTTGTACCTTTCTGTCTTCCATTGTGTTTGAGGTCTTACTGTATGTAGAGATTGTGGAGACAGTTTGTGACAGCCTGGACAGAAATCTGTGTGGCGAGCACATATGCTTGTGCTCCTTTGGCATCTTTTTGAAATCACCCTGACTAAAATAGCAGTGGGAAAAAAGTCTCACCGAGGCAGAAAGGCAGTTAGACTTGATAACAC